GCCGCGCGTGGCTGCCCGGGCGGAGGCTGCCTTGCTCGCTTGGGCGTTCTTCGGGAGATCTACCCGGAGAATTAACTGTGACCCGAAAGATGAAGCTGTGTCTGCAGTTCCCTCTGCAAGGTTCTTCACCTCCATAGTGCTTTGCTTTCATCTCTCGTCAGCAGCACTTTTCTTAGAAGCGAAAAACTAGTTCAGGGTTAGCGCATTAGTTATGTGTCTTGGTTTTGCAGAACTCTCGTTCCTGCAGGCGTGGGGACTGTGAATTTTGTCTTTGAGCTGCTTCTTTGTTTTGTCTTTGAATTTTAGGGTTTGTTGTTTGTGTCTTTGAAGTGGTGTATATATACAGTTGCAAATTTACAAGAAATGCATACACCACTACTGGCCTACTGCTGTAATATCTAGTAAATCCCCATCAAGCAGTTGGTCTGAAACATCGGTACAGTGAAGGGTCCTAGAGCATCTATCTGTGTCTTATGGTACTGTATTGATTTGACGTTTAACTTGATGTAAATTACATCTGGTGTCACAGTGCCATCCCGGTCAGCGATCCCCTGTGCCAGGAGTTGTATGGCCACGTACAGACTGTTTCTGAAGGGTTATAGTTCTGCTGCTGAAACCACAGATTGTAAAGTTAACGTATAGGCCTGTCACTGGGGGAAAGGTATTTTCTTAACGTAGGTTTAAATCCTAATGAGGTAAGGCAGGTCGTAGCATTCTATTCAGAAGTGACTTCAGCTTGTGTGAAGTCTGTAAGTTCTGCCTTCTTTGAAGTGCTTTTGTTTATACCCTTTGTCTTTTCTGGTGAAGAAGTAACTAAATGGTTTTATTGTTTTGCTTGAACTTTTCAAACGGAGTAAAAGAGAATAAAAATTCATAAGAAGAAAGTGTGTTTGTCGCAAAAACTTACTAGGCCTGCTGTCCTCTAACCAGTTGTGACGTCTTCACACTGTGAGAAACCTCAACAGTTGTGTGGTCTATTCAGTTATTGGCAAGCCAGCCACAGGACGTGCAGCAGCTTACACTGAGTGGGTATTTGGGTTGTACGTTACAGGGGAGGAGGGGAGCATTATAGGATACAGGGTAGTAGGGAGAAATGAGAGCTAGCGGGGGCAGAGGGGTGGTTGCAGAAGAAAAAAATCTGTAAGAAATTTAATTACTTTGACTTTGCTGTTCATAAAACCACAGTTTTGATATATGTGTGTGTTGGGTTTTTTTTAAGGCTGCAGAACTTCGAGCTTACCTGAAATCCAAAGGAGCAGAAATCTCGGAAGAAAACGCTGAAGGTGGACTTCATGTAGACTTGGCACAGATTATTGAAGCTTGTGATGTGTGCCTGAAAGAGGATGACAAAGGTTTGCATCTTTAAGTCTTGCCAGTTTTGCTAAACATATTGCCATCAATGCTTTCAAACAGTAACAGTTGGCAGAATTTAGAGGTACGTTGTGTGGCTTGCATGTTAACAGACACATCCTTATAAAACTGGAGGTGCTTATTCCATCATTGCCATGTAAAATTTGCATGTACTCTACCCCTCCCTTCTCCAAACATCCACTGCCCTTTAAAGAAGTCAAAAATCAAGCTAGACTGTGCTTATTATGAGGGCATAGGAGGTTATATATAAAACAGGCTTCCTCCCTGGAAAAAAGTATGATAAAAGTAAAACTTCTTGTCAGTTAATGGCTGTGGTGCTGCAGATCAACTAAAATTAAGACTAGACATCTGTAAGTAGAAGTTTTAAGGCTTAAGTGTTAATTGATGAATGTTGTCTGAAAACACTAGAATTTTCCGTAGTCAGTAACTCTTGTTGAGTTAGGGCTGTAGGTCCTTAGAAACTGCACTAATATGTTAGCAATGCTGATAATGCTGCAGTAGCCTGAAATGTTATCTTCCTGTGCTCTGGGCCATTATATAAGTTCCATTTACAAGTTGTACATGTAAAAAGTCAATTGCTAGTATGAATAATATGTGTTGTTCAAAAGAATTCATGGTTCAGCTAAGAAGGAGTGCTTACGATCATTTTTTGTGTTGCCTTTTACTATAGGCAAATGAGTATGAAATACTGGAGGAGCTTATTGCTCTGCTATTTGATGTTCAGATGTCATTTGGGGAATAAATACTATTTTCCATAGGTAATGAATTTTGTTCTTATCCTTTGCATAGCTGATACTTGGGCAGACTGTGAAAAGAAAACACAAAACCTGTCTGGTCCTGTTTGGAAAGGATGTAACACCATGCTTGAAACAGAGCTGAGGAGGCTTCTTGAATATACTTTGTTCTTGTCCCTGTGGTCTGGGTTTTCCTTGTGCTCGAGGTGAAATGTTTTACTGTACTTGAGCACTAGATGTTTGTATTCTCACTTTAGAACCATGAGACAGTTTTCTGGATGTGCAGGAGGAAGCCACCAAAACCTGAAGTTCTTCTGAATTCTCCTTTGAGTGAACAGAGAATTTGGAGCAAGTGTGGTATCAAATATCAAGTTCTGTTTTGACGTTAAAGTGGTAAATCTTGCTTTACATGGAGATATGTTGGTGAAAAGTCACGTGTGCCCAATCTCTTGGACATTCCGATAAGTATCCAGATGGGTTATGTTGGCATTTTCTCTCTTTTACAGTTCTTGCCAATGCAAAATGGTAATTCAGAGCAGAAATGACTCTTCAGCACTAAGTAGCTACTTATGATTTCTGCTTGCAATTTTAAACAGCTGCGTGTTTTGTTTTGTGCAGATGTTGAGAGCGTAATGAACAGTGTAGTCTCTTTGCTTCTTATCCTGGAACCTGACAAACAAGAAGCACTGATTGAAAGTCTGTGTGAGAAATTAGTAAAATTTCGGGAAGGAGAGCGCCCATCTCTTAGATTGCAGTTGTAAGTAGAGTGAAACAATGGTATCTTGTAATTTTATGTCTTTAAATCAAAGTGTGGGTTGTTTGTCAATGTATGTCTCTCTATTGCAGGAAGCACTCTTTTTTTTACTGTCTTTTTCCCTATCATAAAATAGAAGAACCAAAATACTTTATTTGCTTGGGTATTACAAAATTAAAATTAAAACACGTAGAGTTTTCAGCTTATTTGCTGAAAACTTACAAAACTGGAAGCCATTACAATTCATCAAGGATGTAAAGTGCCACTGGGTTCTTCGCGTGTACTAGCACGCTTCTCAATAGAAACATTTACGTGCACTTCAGTAAGGTTTTTTGAAACCTCTTTAACTCAGTTGTTTGTTGTTTGTGGTTTAGGCTGAGCAATCTCTTCCATGGTATGGATAAGAACACTCCTGTGAGGTACACAGTGTACTGCAGCCTTCTGAAAGTGGCCTCATCGTGTGGTGCCATCCAGTACATTCCAACTGAACTAGATCAGGTAATTAATGTGGTGCTTCAAGTTACGGCCTCTGTATTAACCATGTTACATCTCACTGAATATTAGTCAGAGTTGATACAGACCATCGCTGTTACAGATGGCCAGAGCCTAGTGGAATAAGAAATGCAGCATACAGAATTTCTTATCTTTCAAACATCTGTCCACAGAATCTAAATCATGTGGCTGTTTATTTTCCATTTCTGATGCTGAATGTAGGTAGATGTGTCTGTTTGATTCCTGTGATAGAAATGAAAGTGAGAAGCTTTGATCAGGAATGAGGCATGAAGTTCTTGTCCCTTGCTCTGGAATCAGAGTGTATTATAATCACTGATCCTGATTTGAGAAGTAACATGGAGAGCACAGACTTTTGGCCTCTCACGGGAAAACTTCCAGGTTCTGTATAGGGAGCATGAGAATCAGAGAACCCAAAGGAGAAATCTCTGTGCACGATCATTTTGATCCTTTTCTGCTTGAGGGAAAATGAGAAATATTTTCAGTTTTATTTTAGTCTTTTCCCCAATGCTTCTTTTTCACTTGTATTCTACCTAGGTCCGAAAATGGATTTCTGACTGGAATCTAGGCACAGAGAAAAAACATACACTTCTGAGACTGCTGTATGATGTCCTAGTGGACTGCAAAAAAAGGTATAAAAGACAAGTAATAGGTACTAGATAACTGTGTTTTAAGTTGATGTGTTGTAACTGATCTGTTGGGAAAGTTTTTATCTTTGCACTTTTAAAATTAACCTGTACCGATAATTCAATCCAACTATACCTGGGTTTTTTTCTCTCTATGCTTTTAAGCACTCTTACATTAAACCAGTGTTTCCAAGAATGTTAAAGTTAGTAGTGAATTAGCTGCAAACTACAGACTCACAAAATAAAACTATTCTTTTCTATAAATATTAATCTTTGAGCATTGTAGCATTATGCCAAGCTTATTATTTAATTGCACTTTTGACATTTTAGTGCATGGTAGTGCTATCTCTGATTTAATGATGCTGGGAGGCTTATCAATCACAGTTAACAGAATCAGTCTTTGTGTAAACATTACCTTTAGGACAGAGCTTTCCACTAGTCATGGAAATTAATGTCCACAGAATACCTGCTTGGCCATTTTAAATTATTATCTCGGATCTTAAGAAGCATCTTTGATCTGACAAACTTGGCAGACCAGTGTCTTCTGGCGTGTAAAGTAATCCTGTGTGTATTGTGCCTGTAAATTAATGTAAATCTGAACTGAGAGCTGTCATCAGTTTATCTTCCAGATGTGATATGGTGTATTGACTGCATTGGCCAGGGTTACACAACAGTTTCAGCCTGTCTAAACTGTCATTGCTGTAATTTGGGATGCGTGTGTGGTGTGTGTGTGTTGCTTCCTCCCCCCCTTCCCTTTCCCTCTTCTGAGTTAGTATTCTAAGTTTTTTTAAAAATTTTCATAGTGAGGCAACATCAGGACCTCTACACTGCTGACTTACACCAGTAGCAGGACCACACCTGCGTTTTCTGCATTTGCGTAACCTCGTACTGCTGCAGAAGGAAGCAATTCTGTCCTGTCCCTTCTAGCTAGCAGTACTTGGATTTTTTTTCTGCTGGTGCACAGTGGATTGGACTGAGGAGGTCACCTTGCCAGGTAAAAAAAAAAAAGGCAAGTGTGGAGCTGTCATAGGAGCAGGAGAGTTCCTTCTGGCAGGAAAGTTAGCTTATTCTGGCCTGGTGAAATTGTAGCCTGGAAATGCTGCATCAGCATAGCAGGATCATTTTTAACTAACCTCAATTTAAGGATGATTAATCCTTGTGGAGTAGTTACACTGTGAGCTACAACATGATTGGGAATTCCTAGTCCTGTTACTAACATTAAAATGGTTTTGCATGGTTAGTACTGTGTGACAGATTTCAGATGGTCAAAATAACTTCAGAAATGTTCATCAGAGATCTTATACATGGCTTAGTGCTTACTTTCTTTCAGAAATATTATGCTGATACTCTGTAATGCTCCTACTCTTTTGAACACTTCTCCTATTGATTTATTGAGAGGTTTTAACTAGCTTAATTCCCATACTTAATAGCTAACTAGTCTTGTTATCAAATCTGTGGATTAAACTTCTCATTTTTGTTTCCAGTGCTACCAGTAACCCTGCTACAAAAATTGATTTTTCTTACTAATAATAGGTGATATTTTTAATTTAGGCATTAAAACCTTGTAATGTATTAGTCCTCACTCGGTGTCCTGACCATCTGTTGCAGCAAGCTTTGCACTGAACGGAGCAATTTTTCAGAGCACTTACACTTCTCTCCAGAAAGGAAAACAAGTGACCCTAGCACCTTTGACCTGGTTCACTCTCCTGGATCAGTGGGCAGTATTTGCAGTAGTATGGGAAACTTACAGCAACATTCCAGCTTTGGCACTCAGGAATGTTGCTGTATCGAGCAGTATGGGAAGATAAGTGGGAACTGAAAAATAAGTAATAAAAATCATACCTCAGTTACTGTGTTGATTTATAATCAAGGGAAGAGAATACATTTTTAAAAACAATTGAGTTTAATTTTTTTTGTTCATTTTATGTTTTAACTTCACTCAGTGCAGCAGAAGAGATGGGTTTCCGTAGCTAGTAGGCTTTTCCCAATAGATAGCTTGGTAGTGAACAGATTCGTAGCTAATGAGAAGGTAGCTCATGCAGATGTTCTGTGTGGTGGGCCTTTTCCTGCAGTGATAAGTGAAAGCTTTTTTTATCAAATCTTTTCCAGTCACTTTCTGGTTGAAGTTTCATCTTTCTGATGATCAAAATCATCTTCATCTCTTCGAAGAGGGATTTTTATCCTTCCTATGATGAACTGAAGAAAAATTGGTGGTGGTGGCTGGAAAACAGATGGCTGCTGTGGCTTGTTTCTGAGATTTGTATTTGGCAGCTGAACTTTACAAGAGATTAGTTACTTGCTCTGCTGCTTATGCTCCTTGCCATAAAGGTTCTGCAGTAGTTTTGTGCCTCACCTACTTTAGTCTTCAGCATTTTCCTAACTGTATTGGTATGAAGCTGCAAGGTAACACAACCTGTTTTCTTTTCCAGTTGTAGATGGAGTTTTACAGGCATGCATGGCTTGCATGCAGCCAGAGAATTAAGTTCTGCTGTCAGGCCCTGAATATGGTGCCAGGTGCCAGCCTGATGCAGCTTACAGCTGGGCTCTGCCACTGGCTGGGCAGGATTCACAGTGGGGTTAGTCCTGCCCAGGTTTACATTCAAACAGGTCTGGCAAGTCTGGCTATTAACACCTGTAGCAAAAAGCTCAGCATGCCAAGCACCTGCAAAATACTTGTTTCATTAATTTTAATTCCATTTAATATCATGTAATGTAGAGAGACTTGATTCAAACATCTTACTAAGCTCTAAATACTCTTCTTTTTTTTTTTTTTTTTCTTCCTTTTATCTACCATCACTCTTCAGTTCTCATTAGCTTTTTGTCAAGTGACGCATCTAGACTGGCATGTGGAGCCAAGAGTATTTGTGCAGGCTGTCTTGCTAGAAAAAATGTTCCCGTTTACATTTTAGGTGAGATACATCTTTAGCAATGAGCTTTGGTAGACTAGTGATCAGCATTACTGCTTTAAACGTCCTAATTTACAGTAGTAATCTGACACTGCATAGAATGAATAAGGTTCCTCCTGTCCATTGAGAAAGTACTTCTTAGTAAAGTAGTTGCCAGTGTGTGTGTGTGCATGGGAGACTTCGTTATTGAGGTTTGGTTGTGCTCTCATTATCGAGGTGTGGTCATATCTACAGCCTGTCTTGTCCAAAGGAAGTAGTAAGATGGCATAAGCAAAATATATTCTCTGGGTGGAAGAACTGTCACAACCTTCTATTTTAATAATTAACAAGAATTCCATGAGAACTGGAGATGGATTTTTGTGTGTATACACACAGCATGTTCAATGCCTATATTTTTAGATGAAAATTTTGTAAAAAGCATCAGCAGTTGCTGGCGTTGCTAGTGGCAAGAAGTGTTAGTGAAAACAAGATTTGTTAAACACAGTAATGGTCTGGGAGCTGGTTTGCAGTAACATTGAGCTGTTGTTTACAAAATAATCTTCGTAGACAAGGCCATAGGCTTACTCAATTTTCTTAGAACAATTTGTTTTTCTAAAAGCTGTCTGTGAAAGCAAAATCAGAAGCTGCTTGCTTCACAGCAGCCTAAGCCAGTCTAATTGCTGGCTACTTAACTCTGTTAGTAAAATGAGCAGCTTTCACTCTGAATAATTCAGGAGAGAATCTGTGAAAGAAGGGGCAGCTTTTATACAGTCACTTTCCTGACCATAAATATTCTTTAAGATATGCCATTTTACATTAGAAATAAACTTTGCAGTGCTACTTATTCTGCAATGATTAAATCCAGATGTGCCTAAGAGGAGCATTCTAGTGAACCATATAAAGCTGTTCCTAGCTCAGAAAGCTTTTTCCATAACCAGCAGGTAATTTATCAATTTAAGAGAATGAAATGAAGGGTGAAGATAAACATTTTGTAGAACACGAACTGAAAGAATACATCTAGTTAATTTGTTCTCTTCACTAGAATTAAAATGGATCATCTACATCTTTTTCAAGTGTAATTTAATTTGACCTATAACATCATAATGGAATTATTTAAATATTTGAGTGTCTGTTTTGAACTATATTTTTCAGCAATCCAGAGGTGACTTTATTTTTCTTTCATAGTGACACTGCAGCAAAAGTAATGGTGGAACTATTGGGAAGTTACACAGAGGACAATGCTTCCCAGGCTAGAGTTGATGCTCACAGGTAATACTGACTTCCTGGTTTCCTTAAAAGTAGCTTTTTCTCAATAACTACATTATGTTGATCACCTTACTGTTAAGACTATCGATCAGCCTGGCAGGCAAGGGCCTTGGCACAGCCTCTTTTCTATAGCATGGTTGATTTGATCAAGAGTTTATCTGTGCGGTCTACAGTAAGTTTGGTTGTTTCTAGGCAGAGTCACATTTACTCTATTGTGTACTAAGTGCACAGGCATGTTTCTGGTCACTGCTGAGAGAGATATCAGCCTTGGGTAAGAACGTCACTTACATCATCTGCGCAATCAAAATTTGAATTGGCATCCTTTATTTCAGATTTTTTTACTTTGTTTGATTTCCTAACTTTGACTACTCTTTTCAAATAGCCCTTTCTGTTGAAAAGAAATTCTTGCTCTCTTTTCTATGAGCAACTACTAAGGATGTGAACTGCAAAGAAATAAACTTACTTGTTGGACAAGCTGGGAGTAAACTGATTCTCAACAGTGTATCTTCCCCACTGGCCCAAATGAGTAAAAGCTTGTATTTTGACATTCTACCTATCATGATTCTTCCTAAGAATTAGATTTTTAGTAAGTTGTGTAGTTCTGCCAGGTGTGTACAGCCAACATTTCTCAAGGGAGCTGTTGATACTTAAGCATGGAGGAAAATCAGGATGATTCATTTTGAAAATTAAAGTGTCTGTGCTTAAATGAAAACTTCCTTGACTTACCCTACAGCAATCTGAGGCCTTTTGCATCTGAAGGAACACGTCTGCCTCGGGTTTATCGTACTGCTGTGTCTGTGCAGACCTCAAGTTCTGGGTGTATGTTATGTGGCAGGGTCACGATCTAGGCCATCAGAGCGAGTGTAGCACTAAGTCTCATAATGTGCCGCTGAACAAAAGCTTTCATCTAGAGTTCTAGAAACACTTTAGGTCTGTTTATAGTCTGGAGCCGCAACTGATAAATCATAGGCTTTGCAGTGTTTGGTGTTGGGGTTTTCTCTGTTTTGTGTCATGTATTCAAGTATAATTAATCTTCCTAAACAACTTAATTCTATGAAATTTTAGGAGGACAGTAAAAATACCTCTAGGAATGAAGCCTGGACTGGAAATAAATGCATGGATGGGAACAGTAGGGTGATCTGTAGTCTTACCACCTGGCAAATTTCATTTGTGATACTGGGCAAATTACTTAATGCTTTCTGTTCCTTGGTTTTTTTCCATCTGTAAAATGAAGATGAAAATTGGAATGGGACATGTACCTACATTTAAGAATAGTTGAAAACCGTTGGGTGTTTCCTAGAAAGCAAGGACAACAAATGGAGTTGTACTTACTCATAAAAATGTGTATTGCTGTAAAAATAAACATTTTTCTTTTCTAATTAGATGTATTGTACGAGCATTGAAGGACCCAAATACCTTTCTCTTTGATCATCTTCTTGCCTTAAAACCAGTCAAATTTTTGGAAGGAGAACTTATTCATGATGTAAGTAACTTTGTTTTTAGCAAGATGGTTTGGTATTGTAGAGTGCCTTGTTTTATTAGTGTATTTTGAAATTCATTAGAATAGTTAGCTGTGTCAGTAATATTAAGCTGCAATGTGCTATTTCTTTCAATTCTTTTAGAATTAAAAAAATTATTACATGTGAAATGTTTCTTTTTAGAAGTTTGAGAGAGTCAGAATTGCAAATCCTGCCCTCACATGAGTTCTGTAGCAAAACTGCCTTTCATATCTGAGAAAAGGACTCAGCACAGACTGCCCTTCAGCTGTTCATAGAAGGCACAGTTTTAGCTCTCAATGGCTTCTTTTTGTGTTCAATACCAATAGTTTATTCATCTGTCCAGTCTGCAGGGAGGGAAACATGGATAATATTTAAACTGTTCTTATATTTGTTTTCCCTCTTCTAGCTTTTGACAATTTTTGTAAGTGCTAAACTAGCATCCTATGTCAAGTTTTATCAGAACAACAAAGACTTCATTGACTCCCTGGGTAAGTTTTCAGATCGTTACATTTCTGACCATTTACGTGGCTTAAGATATAGAAGCCACAAGTACTTCAGTTTGAACCCATATACTGAAGCCAGGGAAATTTAATAGGAATTTTTAAGAATGGATTAGAGCTTGTAGACTAACCTCTGTTAGATCATAAATGGACCGTCTCTGTGGTTTGTTCCACTAGGACAAAGCTGTTTATGGGTTTGGAAGAGAACTGTGGTTTTCTCCACTTTTTTTTTCTCTTAAATTTTTTCGGAGGGGCGTTCTAATGGATTGGTACTTGAGGCTAGGCCAGAGATCACAACTGTATTGAGTAAGCCAGCAGCTTGTATAAATATCTTACAATTTTTTTAATCATTACTAACTTTATAACAGCAAATACTTCTCCTGATCAGTAAGAGAAAACCTGCAAGGAGTGTGAGTATGTGTGTCTGCGTGTGCTGATGCGTTAGACCTAGGAAGCCACAGTCTGTCCCAGTTAATTTGTTTCATCACATGAAGCAATGTGATGGAATGTTAATGTCAGCACCCTCTTTATTTACACACTGTGGAAAAAAGGAGTAGTAATTAACACTCTGACACTCCCCCATTGATGTGTAATTGACTGTTTCAAAGGAGCACTGGTTCATAAGCTATTGCATGCATTAAAATTACGTTTTTTATATTCCAGCTTTTTAGGACAGGGGTCAGTGACAATGCAGAAATTGCTCAATGATGCAGATTTTTTTATTACTGCATTAAGGTTTTGACATATTGGTAATGAATAAATGTTTCCATAAAAATAAGATTTTTTTTTTTTATAACTTTGATTTTGAAATGACACATGAAGGCTGAATGCATTTGAGGAAAGGCATCATTTTGCTAAAACAGAGTTTAGTGCAGCCTTTTAACACATGCATTATTTTGTTTAATGGAGTGTGGTATGATTCTGAGAATAATTACCCTCAAAGCTTTAAAATGCTGGTACTTTGGGTATTAAAATGATGGAAACATCAGTGATTTTTTTTGTGGATAAAATCAGCAGCAAGTTTTTGGTAGTTTGTAAATGTGTATATAGAATAAGCATATCTTTTGTCATATGTATTTGAACATGAGTTGTGTAGACATCTTATGCTTTTATTTCTTGGGGGAAAGTGTTTTTTTATTGTAAAAAATTTTATGTATTGAAATGGCTTATCTGTTAGTTATTTGTCCACACAACTATTTGCTGAAAGTGCTGTTATGCTAACATTTCAGTAAATTTATGGAAGATTAATTACACACATCTATAGTGTTAATCATATAATATACAATAGTCATTATTTCTTTTGCTTTGCCTCCCTGTATTTGTGTTTACCTCTGTGAAGATGCAGTGTGTGTATTTTCAGTGTATCTGGGATTCACATAATCTTTGTAAAATTGTTAAATATGTGTGTAACTGTTTTGAAAGACAGCCTTACTTTCAGTTATCTTGATTTCTCACCTGCTTTATAGTGTATGCAGAAAGTTCTGATTGTCTTTGAGTAAGGTACAGGTTCTGAGGCAGTGCAGACCGGAATGCTAGGAACTTGATCTGACTGTTTCAGCCATGCCTTTGAAAAACAAGGACAGTTTGGTATAGAAAACAATAGAATTAGTAGATCAGGCATTCAGAATTGAAGAACACCTATGATTTGTTCTGAAAACCAAATAATTTTTATAAATGTTTTAAAGATTTATTTATTTTTTTAAATAACTTGCCAAGATATTGGGCTTTAAAATAAAGGATATTACTAATAGGATTTCGGAGACAGTACAGCATCAGCCTTAGTTGTGACTTTCCCTGGATCAGGACCAACTAACACTCGTCTACGAAAGCTGTGCAGTGAAGGCTCCTACAGGTGGCATCAGTTTGTTACAATTTGTTGTTTTATTAATGCTGACAACTTAGGCCAGCAGTAGCATTATCTGTGTCAACTGAATCGCCCTAACATGTCCACATCTAATCTGGTATTATCAGCAGTCTTTTTCGGAAAGTTAATCAGCATCTCATTTGCATTTGTTAATTAGGGTTAATGTGTGCTAATTGATTTGTTGATGCTTGTAGAGTTCCATTAAACCCAGTTAGGTATAGTTGCTGGTGCTCCTCATTCCTGTGAATTATGGTGATCACATTTTTGTTGAATCAGTGCCAAATAGGGAACCTGCATCATAATTACAGCTAATTAACACAACATGATGTCCTGCACTAATGTGCTTTCCTATTAGTGTATGGATGTTATAAATTCCAAACTTAAATATTTACTGAAGCAATGTGAATGTTTATAATGTCATTCCAAAACAAAATGATTGACATTCATTTTTAAGAAACTTCCATTGAATCTTAAATGTTACCTCACAGAACTTGGATTAAGAAGTGCCTTGGTTCATCTGAATGTCTTAATTTTGTTGACCTAGACTTTTTGTCAGGAAAACGGTTTCTGATTTAGAAATGCAAGCCCTTGTCTCAATTCCTGGTGTTGCCATTCATACAATCATGGAAAGATCTAATCTACCTTTTAGTATCTGTTCCTCTACTCTTGAAGAGCACTTTTTTGCCCCATTAGATGCTGTAAGCATACATGTGACTCAAGATGTTTTTTTGCTGTGGTATAAACAGTTAATTTGGTGCCAAAACACATTCTTCTGGCACAAAAATGTTATGTTGCTAAAGCATTACTGAGAGAGGTTTATTTTCAAGCAACTAAATGAGGATGAGTGGTGAGACTGTAAGGTTTTGACATTACCAGTCATGTATTTTCCATTTGTTGTTGCATTGCTGTTCTTTCAGATGATGCAACTGAAAAATTGCACCCTCACCACCTAAAATTCTGTTAAGGTGATGTTTTTACTGTTTCTCAAAACTCTGTGCTTTGCTTTTGCAGATATCTATGACCTTTTACTGATAACGACTGAGTCTTGATGAATTCACAACTAAACTAGCTATTTTAGCAAAACACAAGGAAGATGCAGGAATGAATGTTTTACCTCAAAAAATGTTGATAAGGACAGGTGGAAGATTTTCTTGATGTGAAATACTATATACTATATATATATACTACCAATAATTTAAAAATTAAAAATAACATGAAAAACAAATTAATGAATTATTGAATTATACTGCATATCCATAAACTGTCAACACTTTTACACAGGCTTGTTGCACGAACACAATATGGCAAAAATGAGGCTACTTACTTTCATGGGGATGGCGGTAGAGAATAAAGAAATATCATTTGACACAATGCAACAGGAACTTCAGATTGGAGCTGATGATGTAGAAGCATTTGTTATTGATGGTAAGAAGTGCAATACCCTACTTTACACAATGCTAATGAACAACACCTTTTATAGTCTTCTAAGGTGATCTTAAATATTCAGATAAATATTCATTTTTAGTTTCTGTGTTTGTTACAAGATAATGGTACAAAACTTCATACTTGAAGACATGCCTGACTTGTCTTTTTAACAGTGGCGGGGAACTGTATTTCATGTAATTCTTTGAGGAACTAATACATTGTTTGCAGGTTTAATTTGTCATGTGGTTTTGTTTGCTCTCATTAAAACAGGATGTGTTAGTAGGGGAGAGAAGCTCATAAAAACTGTACAGGATATTGCTTTAATAGATTGGCACCAAACAATAGGATTCACACGTGACCTTCATCTTGTTACATCACTTTGCTTTTCTGCCTTCTAGACTGTTAAAACCAGAAGCAGAAGAATATTAAGTGAACTGCTGGGTTTTTATGTTTGTATTGCTCTAATTTTGAAATTTTTTTATGCAGCTTAATACCTTTGCGCTATCTTGAAAATATTGCTCAAAACAGCATTGCTTTTTTGCAGCTGTAAAGACAAAGATGGTATACTGCAAAATAGATCAGACACAGAGGAAAGTAGTTGTCAGGTAAGAACTAATTCTTCACAGCATTTTGCAGAACTTAGTGTGTTCTAATTATTTCACTTACATTTGTAGAATATTTTAACTAGAAGCAAGGTATTGTTCCTATCAGTTGCTGTTAGTTAAATAGTTGCTGTTTATCATAATTTTATTAAAGCTCACACTGAATGTGATTAGCTTATTTAATGAAAGAGTCCTATTTTCCAGCACATTTCATTTAATGACCTAATAGTGACAAGAATACTAATGACTGTTGTTGCTTTAAATATTTGGGCAGGCTACAGAATTCTCTAACTGGTGAAGTGCGGCCCTTTATAGGGAGAAAATAAAAATTTTCCTATTCACTTGTAAGAGTAAGGTAATGCTATAAAACAATTATTAGGTGAGCATGACATGTAATAATCATCTTCCAATTTTGTTTTACTTCTCTAGTCACAGCACACATCGGACTTTTGGAAAGCAGCAATGGCAGCAATTGTATGACACTCTAAACACCTGGAAACAAAATTTGAATCAAGTGAAAAACAGTCTCCTCAGTCTCTCAGACACCTAAACAATTTTTTTTTAATCTAGTAATGTCACTATAGATTAAATTTATTCAAAACTCTGACAATTTGTGAATGTTTGCAATTGGTTTAAAGAAGCTAAATATTCTAAATTGCAACACAAAAAAAGGAATAAAACTAACATGGGAAAATATCTTCTGTTGATTTCTTACATAACTAGTAACAACAAACAGTAGCTTGTTTACATTTACAGTATGAGGATCTTTCTTTGTAAGAGGTGTGGGGAGGAAGGGAGGGAGATCAGAAAAACAATAGTGCAAGTAATTGTAAAGTAAGAAGATTTCCCTTACATCTTAAGGGAGGAAAAATGTGAACAAGTTAGAAGTGAAGCTTTATGATGCAAGATCTGCTGCCTTCTCTCTGTAAATTATACCTGATGCTTTCATGTTGAAGGAGACCTTGATACAGAATCAACTGCAGCAGATACATTTAAATAATTTGGCAGTGAAGGTAAGCAGAAGAGTTTCCTGTTCTTCTGCTACTTAGAACTGCTGAAAGTTGTAAATGTTTGTAGAAACCACTGTATTTTGAAACAGCCGCAGCTGATGTTGCTTGAAAACTGAGTGAGCAGCCTGACAGAGAAACCAAATTGAAGTATTTCAGCCAAAAACTTCTGAGGAGCAGGAGAAAGGTACTCTTAAGTAATTTAATTTTACTTAATGGATCTTAAAACATTAACTTGTGAACTTTTTAACTTTGGGCAAAACCCATAATAATGTGGATTTGATTGCAGGAACAGAGAACTATTATTATTAGTAGGGATTGTACCCATTTTTGAACATAAAAGGGCTATATGCTGTATTAAACATGAAAGCACAGTGCATATCTACCATGTTCTGAAGGAGTACATCTACAAATCTGGTCAAAATGAGTGATTTATCTGTGCCTAAAAGACATGGTTTTGATATCCTGCCACTGATCTTCACTGGCCTTGTTCGTATTTTCTTTTTTTTGCTGAATGAAGTCTCTCCAAATTCAGGAATTTCTCAATTTCTTCTATTTGGTTGTGTATAACGGAGTTATGAATAGAACAGCTGTCCTCATCTTTGAGTGCACTTTCACTTCTTGCTGGAGTTACAGGCACGGGAGAAGACTTCTGCTCATGCTGTAAAGTAGTAAATCCTTCCTTCACCTGACAGGATACAATAATCCAGTGAAATTCAGGTACAAAGGTTCAAATTGTTGGATTTTCCTGAGCATTAAGCAAGCAAGGAAATATGGATAGAAAGAGAAGTCAATTGGAAAAAATGTTTAATTTGATGTGCTTGCTTCAGCTTTAATTTGGAAAACTTGATAATGACAAATATATTTTTATAAACCAAACCTCAACATAAGAGTTAGTACAGAAGAGTATGATTTTAAAAAAAAGGACAACCTTGTACTAGAATGCAGATTAGCAAAATAAATAGTTGAATTAAGCAGCTTAATGTTGCAATGGACATTTCTATTGCTATGCAAGCACTTGATTAACAAAACCCAAAATCATGAGGTTTATAGTGTTAACTCCCTCTCAGCTTCACTGTGTAGATTAGAAAGCAAACATCATTAACCAAGCAAGGTCTGTAATACGCTGGTTTTTTATGTTAAAGATCTTTTTGTTCTTTGAATAGTTTTAATTACTATTTGATAGATAATTCATATCTATCCAAATCAAACACATATGGCAACACAGTAGGAAAACACTTTTTGCTGACATGTTGAGTTCTCCATTTGTAATCCAACATTGCGTGGCTCTTGGGGAGGCCAGCGTGCAGCACCAGCCACCTGCCTGAGCACAGGTGCACGGCAAAGCCATGTCCCACAGAGCCAGTGCTCCCGTGGTTCTTGGGGATCTGCAACGTAGTATTTCATACTTTGGTTGCGTGCTAAGGTAATTCTCTCAGGGTCGCAAGGTGAGGCCTTCCCCCTCTGCTCAATTTTTTTAATACCAGGCAATTCTAAGCCACAAAGTCTTTATCAGGCCTGCCTTTATTTCAGCACATTAATTTTGTGGTAAAAACTTTCCTTCCCCAGTGCACAAGCATTTCTTGAAGTTTGAAATATGAACAATAAACTTTATGCAAATTTTTCACTTAGCCTATTGCGTCTGTAACAACATTACTGCCATGCAGCTGAAGATACTAATACTTCAGGTCCATAATGACTGTAATCTCTGTTTCAGTGAGGAAGTAACTTCTTCATTTGAGCAATAAAATTTTCAACAAAATTTTCAACCTGTTAATTCTAGTGGCTGTGTATGTACACTCTCCCATGGTTTCTCCCAAAGCCTCAGAAGGAAACAGATCATTCCTCATGGCAAGCCACTAGTCAAAATCTCTATGGAATAGCACATGGGGCTGCATGTGTCCTGTACTGATAATCCAAAAAAACCCATTTAATTCAGGTCTTCTACATGTGGAAGTGAAATTTTCCAGTGAAATAAAGCCACGCTATGTTACTTGGATTTTACTGAAGACAAGAAGTATTTACGTCTCTTTGGAGAAGTAAGTGCAGTTAGGTAATGTATATAGCATTTTAATACAGTTCTGTGACTGGGTTTAGAATAAATCTTTAAAAAAAAAAATCTCAGCTGTCAAACTGAAAGGCCTCAGCATTTTCACAATAAAAGTAAAACGTGTCTTACTGCCAGTGCTGAGTATTATGGCAATTTATGGGACACGTGTTAAAAAAACAATCATTGCTGAATAGTATGACTGCACTGTTAGGGACTTGTGTTTGAACTGAGCTGAGGATGCTTACTCATCCTAAACTTGGTATGCTAGCATGTACAGAGTAATGTTTAAAAGATTTCTTCATATTTTTACTAGAGTTTTAATTGCACCTGTAGCATTTCTTTTTAATTTTTATCTACTTTTTAGAGTACGGTACTTTTTTTGAATGAGATTACCCAAATTGTAGAAGGCAGTAGTCTGCTCTAGGTATAATCATCCATGTTAGTCAAAACAAATAAACTGAGCAGCAAAGACGACTGCTGAGCCTATTTTTAAATCTCCCAACAGCTTTTTCATATTAGTCATAAAAATGACAAATTTGAGGACAGAAGGTTTAGAATGACACCAACACAGAAGGGAGGGAGTAGTCTGCAATATCCCAGGCTGAGATTTCATAGATTAAGTATTTGGAAAATAATCTAAGGTTAAGTAGCAAGGCACTCTGTTCTTGTCCATCTCAGCTTTTACTTAGCCAGCACATAAGGAGATTTAGTTTGGAGGTGACAAAGTAGATATAATCAAAATCAGATAATGAAATACAGCTTTGTCTTAGCTGTAAATCAGGTATTTTAGTTCACTCAATTCCTGGCTCCACCTCAGTGAGAAAAAAATAGAGAGACACAGTAAATACCACCAGCATGTTTGGTGAAAAATCCACCTCACTGTCATTCCCAAGTAGAGTCATGTTAGGAAAGCTGAGTAATTTAAAACATCAGTCTTTACTTCTGAATTTCAGCGAATGTGAATGCTAATGGTATTGAGAGCTGATTAAGTCCGCTGAAATCAGTCAGCTGTGTCACTTGAAAACACTGTACACCCTGACCTTAAAACCTCATCCAGAGATGACAGCCATTACCTGAGGAATACCACTAAACCTCTTCTAAAAAGGAAGGTCAACTGCAGTTGTAAATTATTGTATCACTTTGAATAGTATGTTTAGCTTTAGGTCTAATCCTAATACAGCAGTTACAGCGATTCAAGCTCCGCAGTCTAACAAAGATCTAAAAATGCAACAGGAGCCTTTGCTAGTGCCATTCTGAATGGAGTAGTCTCACAGGGAAACAACAGGTTTCTTTTTAATTCTATGCTTTAACACATTTGTGTAATGCCATCCTACTAAAGATAATTAAATATGGTATCACATAACTGCAGCATAGAATAAATGGATAGGCTCTAATTCATAGATACGCTGAATTTTTAGTCTTTCACAGATTCTTTTAAATAACACGTTCCTATCAAGTAATAAAGGAAGCAATGTTTTTATACTTTTACATACTACTTTTTTTTTTCTTTCTTTCTTTTTTTTAACTCGTACTTTTACTGTAGGTGATGATTTTTATTAGGGTACACAATGAACTTCCCTCCCCGACAGACTGGTTAGCATCTGTTTGATTCATATGCTGTGACTTTTTCCTGCTGCTTTCTATCAACCTTAATTGTGAAAAATGGTGCCTTGTTGCCCTTTTGATATTATTTTGGAGATTGACTCAGTCTTAAAGTATCCAGATGTGTACAGTTGTACAAATATCTGTGGAATTAGCTCACTGAGGTCTGTTCCACAATATTTTTAATTGACTTACATGTTCTGTGGGAAAAGAAGAATCATAAAAAGTCTTTGCTGTAGCATTCCATTCTTCACTAGGGTCTCCCTGGGGGTCTCTGTGGATACTAGAGGTATTCAAAGTGTCAGCAGCTCTGTTAAGACTGGTAGAACCTGATTGACAAAAAGGAAATGGTAACAACTGCAATTTAGTCTCTAGGCACTAATTGTACAGTAACTAAACTTCTGGTTTACCTCTGATCTTAAAAAATCAAATATTTTTGTTTTAAATCACTGAATCTCTGTCGTGGGCTTTTCCCTCTTCATTTTTTTTCTTTCACATACTTCTGCATCTATTTTGTCTCTAAAGATGAGGTATGTTTCTACTCTGATTAAAAATGTTTTATATCATTTTCATATATTAAGTTAATGACAAATTAAAAGTGTGATTTATAGAAAATGTATGTATTCTGAATATTCTAACTGAATATATTTTTTCCAAACAGTATTACTTTCAAGACTCACCTTCTGATAATGATAATGAAATACATAATTACTGCCATCCTGACATCATATTCCAGGGTGACTTTTAATTTAAAAAGACATTCTAGATACAAAGGTTTTTAGACAACATTTTAAATAAGGAGTCTTTTTGCTACACTTAATATTTCAGAAAATCGGGCTATAGCAATCTACCACAGGTAGGAAGGGCAAATAAGTAGATTAATCACAGCAGAGTAGCAGGCTCCAATCCTGCAATGGCTTTATGCACAGCTATTAGACTCCATCAAAACCAATATCAAGTTCCTTGCAAGATCAAAACTTAAGAGGACTTTCACAAGTACTCATAATGCAAACAGTAGCTGTTTTGTCACTACATA